CTTCCTTCCTTCCTTCCTTCTTTCTTTCTTTCTTTCTTTCTTTCTTTCTTTCTTTCTTTCTTTCTTTCTTTCTTTCTTTCTTTCTTTCTTTCTTTTTCTTTCCTTCCTTCCTTCCTTCCTTCCTTCCTTCCTTCCTTCCTTCCTTCCTTCCTTTCTTTCTTTCTTTCTTTCTTTCTTTCTTTCTTTCTTTCTTTCTTTCTTTCTTTCTTTCTTTCTTTCTTTCTATCCATCCACATTTCTCTCTGTCTTCTCTCTCTCTCTCTCTATCTGTTTCTTTTGACTGGACTTGTGATTTCATTGATGTAGGAAGCTCCCAGAAGAGGAAAGTCCCTTCACCAATGCAGGTTGACTCTGCATCTTTCAATCTTAGAAGATTTTCCAGGGGCACTAAGAGGTTAAATGACTTGCCCAGGGTCAGACAGCAAGTAAATGCCATAGAAAGGTCTTGAGCCTGACTCTGAGGCCGGCTCTCTATCTGATATATCATGCTGCTTCTGACATTTGTTAAGACTAGTATCTTCTGTTCTTCTCATCTTTTTAGATTATGATTATTGTGACTGTTGTTTGTGGTTGCTGACATTACCATCATCATCAAGGTGGACATTGTGAGGTGGGGGCAAGAGCTCTGGGCTTGGAGAGATGAGACAAGAGCTTGATGTTTGCTGTTTGATCTTGTATGAGTCACTTAGGCTCAGTTTGCTCATCTGTAAGATGGGGCTAATCATACTGTCTCACGGAGTCATGTTGACAGGGAAGTGTGTTGGAAATGTAAGTTCTGGAGAAATGAAGGTGATAGAGGCAGCGTGCTGAAGTAGACACACCAATGATGATGACGATGATAGTAATGAGATATATTACTAGAACAGAGGAAGGGAGATGGACTCTGAAAAAAGAGATGACCCAAGAACGTATCCCAAAGCCTTGGGGAGCATAACCAGTTTTGTGTCCCTGGTCCTCTCCAGATGTTTATGCTGGGCTCTGGGCTAGGCTTCTGGACAGATGATTTATAAGCAGGGGATTCCATTGACTCTGATTGATCCTTTTCTCCCTCCTTGCTCCCCCCATCCAATGAGAGAATCCATGACTGCTAGTCTTGGGGATCCCTTGGTGTGAGTGGGGGAGACCCAGTTCCCAACTTCAGGGAGCTCTGATAGAGGAGACACGGTTCCCATTTTTTAGGGAGCTCCCTGGAGGATGGGAGTGACAGGGTCCCTGAACTTAGGGAGTGCCCAGTTGTTCCTTGGTGAGTCTGATGGGGGAGACACAGCTCTGATCTTTGAGGGGGCTCTCACTTGGAGAAAGGAGGCATGATCCTCAGCCTTAGGGAGCTTTCCATGGGATGGGGAGGACTCCCCAGTGTGGCAGGGGAGACACGGCCCCCTACCTTCAGAATGCTCCCAGACTGATGGAGGAAACATGGTTCCCATCCCTCAGAGAACCCCCAGTTTGTTAGGGGAGACACAGCCCTCATCTTTAGGGAGCCCACAGCCTGATGGGGGGGGGACACAGTTCTCCTCCCTTAGGCAGCTCCTAGTCAGATGGGGGAGACATAGTACAAATGTTCAAGGAACTCCTGTTTGGTTGGGGCTGATAAGATTCTCCCACACGGGATCCTCTAGTCTGATGGGGGAGACACGGTCCCCATGGTCAGGGAGCTCCATTCTGATGGGAGAAGACATGGTTCCCAGCCTTCCAGGAGTTCTCAGTTCAAGGACAAAATATTGTTCCTGCCCACTGGAATTCCCCAAGTCTGATGGGGGAGAAATGGTACCTATCTCTGGGCGTATATGGCATGATGGAAACTCAGCACCATGAGTTTAATAATGACTGAATAAGATACTTCCCTTGCATGGGACCCTAGTCTTAGGGGGGAAGACATGGTCCCACCCTCAAGGAACTTATAATATGGAGAGACATGCTTTTGCTCGCAGGAGCCATTGTTGTGAAAAAAGAGACATAGTCTGCACTCAGGGGACTTCTGATCTGAGGGAGCGTGACATGGTTTCAGTGCTCAGTCTGAGGGACAGCCCAGATCCCCGTTGTTGAAGACAGGACAGACAGGCAGACACACAGAACAACACCCCCAGTGTGTTTGGGAAGAACAAGGTCATTGACTTACTTGAGACCTGCAGTTGGACGTCCAGTGTCTCCGTCTTGCCCTGCAGGGTGACAGTCTTCAGGGTGTAGCGGCCGGTGTCTGTGAGGTTTAACTTCTGGATGAGCAACGAGCAATTGGCAAAACCGATCTCCCTCCCGGTATGGGCTGGCCCGGCAATCCAATTTCCAGAGGGCAGCTGGCTGAGCAGGCGATTGGGCTCGGAGGCTGTCCCTCGGTACCAGGCATAGACCAGAAGATCCTTGGGATAGCCTTGGACAGACAGGATGACATCCTTCCCCTCAGTGGGCTTGCTGGGAATAGGCACTATCGTCGTGGCTGAAGTGGCAACTGAAAAGAGAGGGGCATCGTAAGCTACTGGAGGGACACAGATATGGCTTGTTTGTCCTGGTGTTACCTGCAATGGAGCCCAGTGTGGGGCTGGGCATATTGGAAGAGCTTGGCAAAAGTCTGTGAAAGGAAGGAAAGAAATGAGAGGGAGAGAGAGAGGGAGGGAGGGAGAGAGAGAGAGAGAGAGAGACAGAGACAGAGAGACAGAGAGAGAGAAAGAGAGAGGGAGAGAAAGAGAAAAAGAGAGAGACAGAGACACA